AAATAAAAAAAAAAAAAAAACCTTTATAGCATATTGCCTTTCGGCCCTGGAAAATGGAAGAATTGGTCAATCCTTGTTTCAGTAGTAGAGCCATTACTTTGTGTCAAATTGTGCACCCAATGCGCGTGCTTCCTTGATGATGACTTCATTGTCCGGACATTGTTCTAATCCATTAAGAGGTTTCTTGACTCTAATTCCACACCCTTTTCAGGCTTTGTTCCTTCCTAGCTTACTCAGTGTCCTCAATTCATTCACTACCTTAATCCTGTCGTTTTTGGGTCCTGCAGCAGATGCGATGAAAATTTTTCTCTCACTGTTTTTTTATATATAAATTCGTATTCTTTACACGTCAGAAGAAATATTAAAACGTCATTAAAAAAAGATACCCCGTCCTAAATATCGAACATGAAATGATATCTTATGGAAATTTTCTCTCTCAAAAGAGAGATTTGATGCCTCCCTATTGAATTGTATTTGAGCTAGATTTGTTCCTTGGATTCTAATAAAGCATGATTGAGGAACAAAGGATTAACCTCAGTCGCAAAACATAAAAGACAAAATATCACATCTTGAAAACCAAACAGGCAGGGGGGAAGGTTTTGTACAACCATCCCTTTTCCTTCAATTAATTTGCATACTGACGTTTTAACTTATTGCTCACAGCTATGCGAGTCTGGGTTCATGAACGCTGTTCATGTCTAGTATGATTCAACTTACTAATACTAAAATTGGTTGGTTTATGTAAAAATAAATGGAATTTAAAGCATTTTTATCGAGTCAAACATGAACCCAAATTTAAAATCTAAAATGAAGATTAATGTGAATTAACGTGTAAAGTTAAGAAAATAATCTGTCACACGTTTTTTAATTCGTGATTATAATAATCTTCAAAAGTCTTAATATTATTAAGATAAGATTTGTATTGGATTAGTACATTGAGTTAGGTCGGGCAATTTCAATCAAAGCTCCATAACGTGAATCAGAGGAACAAACAAACTTGTTGGCAAAAGCATGAAACAATACACGATGCATGCTATGTATGACTTTGTAAGGAAAACACACACAAAGGTTTTTTTTTAAGAAATAAAAACATGGCTTGCCGCCACATCAAGTTTTGCCTTTTGCTTTTGGAACAACACGTGGAAGCATAGGAGGATTATGATTAAGGGATGGCCATGGCCCCCTCTCTTAAATTTTAACATTAATTTTTTTTTAAAAATAGTCGGTGCCTAATCGTATCAAATATTAAATGAATACAGAAGGTTTCTGTGCTTGAATTAATCTCTCCCCTCTAATCCTTGTGTCTCCTGTCTTGTTCATCAATAGCCTTGATTAAATTCCTGAAAGATTAAGTTATCTGGAAGGTAGGGGTCAATTTTATGATCATGCTTGGGTGATTAAGTAGGTGGGTTTGTCCTCCCCAAGAAAGGACAGTCATGATAAACCAAGCCCTCAACATGCCTTAATAGTCAAAGATGAACTTCCCTGTGTGAGGCTTTGCTTGGGTTGCAAAATAAGGGAAGACCTTCGTTTTTGCTCTTGGCCTCTTCGGATTGGGGTTTCTCTCCAATTCTTACAAGCGTATAACAATTCCTTTGGAAAACGAATTCACTCACATAATTCTCTGGCACAAAAGCTTGGAAGGAATCACCCCATCAGTTACTTGCTAAAGAAGTATAAAATTTGGAATCTGAGGCAGCTGAGAGCTGACAAAATGGGGCTCTCTCTGTCTGTCTTTCAAAAGGGTGGTGGAGAGAGAGAGAGGAGAGTGGAGGGACAGCCTCGGCCAAGGAAGCAACAAAACCTGTAGCAAATCTCATTTGCAGAAAGAAAGAGGGATGAGCTGGTTTAGGGGCTTCGAATACACTGTCCTTATGCAAACTGTGCATCAATTTCATCCGCCACGCACACATGCCTTTGGTACGGGTTGAATCTGCAGGGCACTGCTCCATATTAAATATCAAAAGTAATATATTCTTACACTCCCAAGCTGGATCCTGAAACATATTTACCGCTGGAAAACTAACCTAAGATGGAAATCATTTGGGGGAAAATAAAGGTGAACAAAACGTGGGTGGTTGAAATCTTCTGTAAAATTTTCTGCAGGGTCCCCTCCTGCATCTAATCTTTTATATTATTATCCTCTCAGTTTCTTTTTCTCTGATACTCTTTTGTATTACACTAAATTTTTTTTTTTTTAATTTGGGCTGAGAGAGAGCAATCAGTTTTCATTATAACCATCATCATCACCCTCATGTTCTTGCCATTTATACATGGCATAGAAAGCTTCATAGCCTGTATTCACACCTAGTAAACCAACAAAGAAATGCTCTCAAGCTTAGCTAAACCCTAACCCCACAAAAAGGTCACCCCACACCCCCCGCCCCCCCCCCCCCCCCCATAACCACATCAGGCCTTCACCTTATTTTTATGTTTTAAAATTCTTTTAAGCCATGGAGCTAATCAACACTAAACCTTCCCGTACGCACAAGCTGAGCCCTCATCAGAGACACAACCCACAACGCCAAGAGCAAGTCTTTATTGCTCCTCAGGAACTGCACCAGCAACATCATCTCTACACACAACATCACCAGGAAATGGTGGTTTCCTACAAAGAGTGCCTCAAAAACCATGCAGCGAGCTTGGGTGGACATGCCCTGGATGGCTGTGGGGAGTTCATGCCTAGCCCTACTGCTACCCCAACTGACCCTGCCTCCCTCAAGTGTGCTGCCTGTGGCTGCCACCGCAACTTCCCCGCCGTGACCCTTATGATGGTCCTGCTTTCATCCAACCACCTGCCACCACGGACTAATCCTAGCTCAAGTCCAAGCCCAACCCATAGCCGGGGTCCGAGCCCCAGCCCAACCCATACCCCATCCTCACCAGTCCCATACTCTTACTACTCTTCTGCACCCCACATGCTGCTGGCCTTGAGCACAGGCTACTCAGGGCCGTTGGATGAGTACCACCATCACCTAAACCACCCAAATCCAACGATGGGAAGGATAGAGAACCACAGCAACAACAACCCAAGTGGGAGGAAGAGGTCGAGAACAAAGTTTAGCAAGGAACAGAAAGAAAAGATGCATGCTTTTGCTGAGAGGCTTGGTTGGAGGATGCCAAAGAGTGAGGAAAGATTGATAGAGGAGTTTTGCAATGAAGTTGGGGTTGATAGAGGAGTTCTCAAGGTTTGGATGCACAACAACAAGAACACTTTTAGCAAGAAAGAGATATTAGCAGTTGGTAATCTCAATATTGACAGCAACAACAACAGTGGCAGCAATGAAGGTAATGGAAATGGCAATGCTGGAGTTAGCTTTGATTCCAATAGCGACATCCACAACAATGATTGTAGTATTCAGCTTCATGTTTCTACTATTAATGGGTCTTCATCTGCATCTTAATTTGGAAACGATGCTGAAAACTTTGATAGAAAGCAGCAGGCTTTAGTGGGTATTTTTGTTGCTTTTTCTTTTTTTCTATTTTTTGGACGTTTTTAACCTTTGTTTATGGCCTTAGAGTTATTTTATCTTTTTTTTCTCTTTTTTCGCTGATTAGTAAATCTAATTAGTAGTTTGGAGGTGCAAGAGGAAGAGAACTGAGGATATGACTTGTGGGGATAACAATTAAAGGGAATTACTTTGTCATTGTTAATTCTATCTGCTAATTGATGTTTGGACATATAGCATAATTCTTTTGTCTTCTAGCTCAGACTTGATAGTTGCCTTTCTTTTCCCATTCTCTCTTGTTTGTAGTGCCTTCCTTGCTGAGTTCTCTTTGGTATTATCCACTTCCCTAACATCCTCTAATTCCTTTAATGTGTCCAAAAAACTGGGTTTTGCTCAAATTCTGGGCGTATGATCAGTTAGGAGATGTCCTTGTGCAAGTCACATTTTGTCTTTTATTCATTCATGAAGAATCCTTGACTTTTGCAGCAAAAATGTTCACCACATTTGTATTATTCAAAGATAATGGCTCTGCCTCTACTTTGGGTTTGGTACACCTTAGGCTGAATTAAACCCCAAATCTTTTTCCTTTGTTTATTCCCAACAAAAAATCATCAAACTTACCCTGTGACCCTACATGAAACAGTCTCTACCCCTTCTATATTTGTCATTTTTCCATTAGCTTGTTCAATATTCTGGCTTTCAACATGCCTATTTTTGTATGTCATCTCTTCTCATCTAATCTTCCAAGGCAAGCATGCAGGCTCTTGTTTTTTAATTAAAAAAGGTTAGGTGACAATAAAAATATTACTTTGAACATTGCCACCTTTCCCCTTTTTGTAAGTGCCTAATGATAAGCAGCAAAATCGAAGTTGCGCTAGTTTAGTTATAGCTTAATAATTTAATAATTGATCCACTTGTCTGATCCTTCCCTAAGTTTTGACGTGTTACATTTCTTTAACATTTCTTTTTTTCTTTTTCTTAATGGTCTTTGGCAGCCTTCAAAGCTCAAAGATGGTGGTTCAATTTTTAGCTCCTTTTTTTATATATACTTTGCTTCCCTTTCTGGCCGGCTTTGACCCCAACTTAGATTTTGATTCTGCTTTCTTTAATATATTTAAGTGAGTTTAAAGAAGCTTAAATATGGATTTAAAATCACAACTTTCCCTTAATAAAGAAAACAACATCTAGTATAAAATATTCTCTTTTTTTATAGTTAAACCTAAAGATATAATCATTTGGTTGTACATTTTAATCTAATATTCTTTAATATTATCAATAATCTAAATTATGCATGAAAGGGAATAGGAAAGAAAGCTAAGGTGGGAATTGGAGAAAACTTATAAATTCAGATTTGAAAGTTCAGTTGTAGGATCATCTGCTGCTTGCTCTGTCTCATCAGTACAAAATTTACATGTAGAACTAGGAGGAGTCAAATGCAAGCAGTGATCAGTTCTGTTTTCCAACCAAGCTAATCTCCTCTCCATGCTCAGTACTCCGACATGCATGATCCGCATGTCAACCTCGGCGACCCTGGCACAAGAACGAAGTAAGATGTAATAATCGGCATGAGCAACGTAAATCACGGCACCTTCATCCTTCTTCCTTGCGTAGTGAAGGTAACTGAGTCTCTTCAGCTTGACCCTTGGTGGGATATAAAGGAACCTGTTCTCCTCCATGTTTTTCTTCATCAGTCTTATTGCTCTATGTTTGGAGTTCTCTGCCAGAACTTTGTCGCTGGTTTCTGAACTTTCATGTTCCTCTGAAGTCTGGGAAGAATGCTCAACATCCTCCATGTGTTTCTGCGAGTATAAATCATCAAGGGAAGTCCTTCCGTCTTTGGAGGGACTACTATGACATTCGCTATCTCTGACCCTTTTGTCCACTTTGCAGCCAATGTCATCAGCGCTCCTATAATGTTCTCCCACGTCTTCTGCTGCCTCAGAACCCTGCAATCAACATAGGTAATAATAATTGGAATATACAAGAATTTGCTATTTGCTAACTTGAAACATACATTCACGAGAAGCTTATGGTACATTTATGAAAGACCACCCAAAGAGATGACCACCAAATTCTTCCAAATGTGACGGGAAGAATAGAAACAGATCAGAACCAGGTCAGAATGGCCCCCGATAAGCCTCAAGAAGGACAGCTAACACAACATGACAACCTTATAATTTGAGAGGCAGAAAAATGTAAAGGAAAAAATGAAAGGATATTAATAGAATATTTGAAATTTAGGACAAAACAAAAATCCAACAATATTCAGTCTTCTTCCAACTTGCAACATAACATATAGTAAATGCAAATAAAATTCAGCCAAAATGGAACAACAGAATTCCAAATTAAAGGCAAGGTCACAGACCATATTAACAAAAGAATTCTAAGTTACAGGCAAGGTCACGGACCATAGTAAGCATGAATCCATCTGCATTAACTTCAACAACTCCAATAAAAATTAAGCCAAAGTTTATGAGTTACCTTTTCTTTCTGATAAAAATCCCAAAACTTGTCAATTAAACCTTTCTCCTCGTGATAAAAGTCCAGGGGCAGCTCTGATCCAGCAAAGATCACGTCCTGACAGAATCGTAGATAGTTTGGCATGCTTTCAGAAAGATCTGTCACTGCATGGTAAAAGAAACAAGTCAAGTAAAGGACAAGGGAAAAAGGGAGGGAGGAGGGGGATGGCTCACAAAAAGGGAAATTCTAAAATGGTTAAGCTAGCTAAATTCATAATCCCAGGAGTCAGTGACAGTATCATACATTTAACATCACGGTCTGCATAATTAATCTCGTTGAATCTTGCTTCAAGGTTGCACAAAAGCTCCACGGCATCAAACTTGGATTCATGATCATGTAATGAGTTTCGAGCGGAACTAGTACCAATATCATTCACATGAGGAGAACCAGAACAATCCTCTGCATGGTCCCTCCCTTTAGGACTACTTTTGGGGTCCTTACTCACAGCTTCATTAGATTTGCTAGGGAGATTATAACAAGACAAACTCTTTTCCCACACCCCAAATCCATTTATGTTATATAGAATCCGTATTGCTACCACCAGTATTGACATCACATAGACACGAGTAGAAAGTCCACTATTATTAGTTGACAACCTTAATTCTGGAGGCAACGCCCACTCATGTATGCGGCATGCATGCGGTAGAATCTTCTCCACTGGAAGAGATAACTCCTTTAGATATCTGGAAGCAATTGCATAGAAATTCACTGGTGGTAAATTCAAGCCTATGCACTCAGCAATTTTAGCTGCCAGTGATTCCAACTTTTGAGCAGGAACAGCATGCTTAGGCCTAAACATACTCCTAAGACTTAAAGGAAATGGAGGCAGAGATCGTCCGATGCGTTTTTCAATTTCAACAAAAGCATCAAAATAGGTAAGCTCCCCTTCAACTGACCACTTAATGATGTCTGTTGCTAAAACTGCTTCCCTTGCAACATGACATCCTAGAAAAGAAACAGCTAAAGAACAAGATAGTGGAATCCTTCTTCTTAAGTCCTTAAACCATATAAATACTGCTCTCTGACCATGTCTGTTGTGAGGTTCCGCCTTGTAAGAAGCAGGTTGCTTAAAATCAACAGTTTCTCCTAGGAGGAGGGGAAAATTGCACATAGTAACAACGAAGTAACATTATTAATAGTGACTATCTAAAGGGGAGGAGAAAGAGAGAGAGAGAGAAGAAAACAACATAAAGAATTGCATGTAAAGAGTAAGGAATAAAACATTTATCACCTTCTCATCCAGTATGCTGAACCACCTTTGATAAGAATAATTTTCTTATTCATCATCAAAAATTGAATGATAAGAAAATTTTCAAATTGCCATGAAACTACAGCACCAACCAAATTTTGGAAAATGATTTTCACCAAACTGAGATATTTTTATTCATATATTCATATTTTCAGCTAAAGCTGAAATTAAACTTCTACTCTCTTTTCCAAATGACAAGAATGCCAAGATCAGCATATGACAAATCCTCCTTAACTATTACCAAGACCTACTAAACCATTAAGAGCAGCACTAATCTGTTGCATGCAATCAAATAGCTATAAAAAATAAACTACAAACAACAACAATCTTTTTCTTTTTCTTTGCAGGATCAGAATTACTAAAGAACTAATACTACCCTTAATACTCCAATATCACTACACATGGCCCACATAGTGCCTTATTGACATTGACAAGTTTTTCATCTACTCATAATTCTGCAACTAAAAGGTAAATAACAGAAAAGGTTTAAAAATAAATACAGCCAATACCTGATTTTTGAATCTCAGACTGTCGTATAGCCTCATCAGCCCAATCATCATCAAAAACTCTAGTGCTAGCCACAAACCTCAACCAAATAGTTCCAACTATCCCACAAATCAAAGGTTTCACATTAAACTTCTCCACTAGAGCCTCACATTGAGCCTGTATCATCATCTGCAACCCCATCACATACCTGTTCCGAACCTCCTTGTAATAATCTTCACAACTATATACATCCATAGAGTATGCCCCAAAATCACTTGTGCCTGTGGGCCCCACACCATCCAAACCAGCATCATCTCCCATTCCACCCTGCTTATCATCATGATCTCTGGGCTCTTGGGTCAAATGAGACCAAAACTGCTGAGATTGGGAGTTGAATTGTGAGATTGGTTGGGATGGGGTAACAGGTTGGCGAGCATGGCGTGTATGGCTGGCCAAGTAAAGGGCACCACCCTGGGAACCCCTTTCAACGAAATCCTCATCGGCAACACCTGTATCAATGACATCATCAGCCTGAGACCCGCACCTAAAGCAGTAATAGTAGCCATCCGATCCATCAGCCATTCCAACATTCCCGCACGTGTTGCACGTCCATTTGGAGCATTCCTGGTCCATCTATTGATTGGTTAGAATGAATTTTGACAAGTTGCAGGGGATTATTACAGCAAGCTTGTCTTCATTTCCAAACTTAGTGCTGCGCTGCTGTGAACACATACAAACTGCTGAACAAGCATCAAAACATAAAATGAGATAACAACCCATTCAAGTACCAGAGAAGAGAAAACCAATTTTTACCAAATTGTGACCTTTGCAAACATATTTAAGCTGCAATGCGGAAACTACTTACAAAAAAGACAGCTCTTTTCTAAGCCCAATAAATAACCAGCTCGGGAAAAAGAACATAATTCATAGTTCAAAGAAAATTAGCATTGGATAAACAAAGGAAAACTGCATGAATTACAAAAAGTA